TGAGGGCAAACATCAGATTTTGGAAACGCGCACATGCTCTACGCTGTTAACCATCATTTACAAGACCCGTCAGGGATACACCTAAAACCCCGACCTTAAGTCAATGGCTGGTAGCGGTCTCTGGTTAGCGTCGTGCCTGGAGATATGTTTCCTGGATAGCGCTGACGGTCATTCCGTAGGTTCAAATGCTACGGTCGATCTCCTTTTCATGCGTGAACTCAAATCGAGATCGACGTCATCAGGCAGTGGGGAGCCCTGCTACTCATGTGACACATCCGTTGGAAACAAGTAGTACATCAGTTGGGACTAAGCTGTACATCAGCTCATATTAGTAGTTTAAGCCTAGCCGCGCTGCTCATCCGCCTTCGCCATTGGCCGGAAAAAAATGTCTAGGCAGGGCCAAATGTGCTGCGATTTGATTTTTCTAAGATGGGCTGACTTAAAGCGGGTTGTCAGCCAACAAAACTGAGCAACCATAATATGACTGCTTTACTTTTGGTCTTCCTTTCCGTGGTTGAGGGTGGGGATCCATATCACAACATTGGTAGGAAAACGGATATCATAACGGAAGAAACCCGTTTCAGAGTACTTTGGGGGCAGGCTAATCAATTTCAGATGTTTGCCCCATCCGATTGGACCGTGCCAAGGCCAGAACATATTGCCTCCTTAAACGAGAACAAGGAATAAAAAAACATCTGCAAGAAAGATAAATCAGAGCGGTATGTCACCAATTTCCGCGAAGCGAGAACCTTCCATCGGTGGGCCTGAAACCTGAACAATGCCTGAAACAAACAAAAACAAACAATGCCTGAAAAAACGAAAACAAAAACAAACAATGCCTGAAACGGCAAACAATTTTCGTGTAAAACAACATTAGATGGCCTCAAAGTAATGCCACTTGAAAAGTGCGACGTGCTGCATTATATTGGCTGGTGTTACGATAACAAACTAAGCATTTTGCCATTAGGCAGAAGCTATTGACTCAAGTATGATTATCCTGTTCAGGACGCCTGACGGGTCAACAGTCCCTTCCCACCGGCGATGTCAAATATATGTAGATCATCTTGCGATGTAGTGGTGTGTTCATCCATTCGTGCACAGACACGTTAGTAGCATGTAAAGTATGTTACGCGGTCACTTCTAACCTCTATGTACGGAAGACGCTATCCTGATATCTTATTCGTCCTATGGAATATGGGTGGTGATATATGGATATCGTCATGATGACAATGTTCAGTTACAAAGTGCCTCAATACATTTTACAGCTGGCTATCGTCCTCTGCCTGGTGGCTGCGGCTGCTCCCAGCTATGGCGGGTTCTTGGGACCATTCAGCGGGCGTGCCGGTGGATTCGCCTTTGGCGGACTGCGAGGCGGATTCGGTCTCCGAGGACTAGGAGCCGGCTACGGCCTGAACGGCGGATATGGCGGATTGGGCGGGTACGGCTTCAACGGCGGATACGGTGGATTTGGCGGATACGGCGGATACGGCGGATACGGTGGATACGGCGGATACGGCGGATACGGCGGATACGGCGGATACGGCGGATACGGCGGGTACGGCGGGGTCGGCTTCAACGGCGGATACGCCCTTGGCGGACTGAGAGGCGGATTCGGCCTCCGAGGACTACGAGGCGGCTACGGCTACGGCCTGAACGGCGGATACGGCTTCAACGGCGGATACGCCCTTGGCGGACTGAGAGGCGGATTCGGCCTCCGAGGACTACGAGGCGGCTACGGCTACGGCCTGAACGGCGGATACGGCTTCAACGGCGGATACGCCCTTGGCGGACTGAGAGGCGGATTCGGTGGACACAAGAAGCACTTCTCCAGCTACACGGACATTGACAAATGACTGGTTAGTTTTCAAGTAGCATCCCCAATACCTTGGTAAAATGTCTCGGTTCCTTAGGCAGCAGATATATTAGCAATTGACCATTTTGCGCTGTGTTCACCGGAATACATGGACTGTCGCGTGCACTGATGACATGCATATCGAGACCGACAGTATACTAGAGCGGAAATGAGAGGAACGAACGAGAAAGGGAGCAGGAAATAACAAATATAACACGAAACAAAAGCAAACGCAGGGAGGCACGCCGGATCGAGCTGCCCTTGAACTGGAGAAGATAAGGAGGGACACGCCCTGATGTCATATGTAGCATAATGTACAGCATTGTTTGGCTAATGCCAGTAATGTTGCTTAGACAACAGTGATCGAAGTGCTCGGACTATGAAATTTATATTGTTTCAAAGGGCATCTTAAGCACTGACGGCAATTTTTATTACGAGTGGGAAAGAGTGGTATTTCAACTAGCCTCTCACCAAAATATACCAGAAATTTTGCATTTGCACCACATTCAGTAAACCAAACGCCAAGTCTTTTGCAATTTCATGCATCAATTAAAGGGTTTACACTGACAAAGTAAAGAATGCAGGATATTTAAAGACATGGGAAGCCTCAGTTCATAACAATGCACACAGGCACAAACACCGTTCAATGCGTCACAATGGCCGCAGTGTCGTGACCTGTATTCAAGAGGCAGGCGCATGCTCTTATACGGTGTTTGCTTTCCTTAAAGAATACACCATGCGACAGCACGGAATAATTACCACATCACAGCTTTGAAATGGTTGTCATCTCCCTTTTGCCAAAAGCAATACCCGTCTTTCACTGCAAGACAGCCACCACTGCGCTGTTTGTAATGCTGCGTACAAGCAAAGACAGCGCTAACATTTCGTCCACGAATATTGCGTAATGAAGCGACATCGTTAAAATTTATCGTTGCCACAAGACTAATATATGGTTCAATGTTGAAGCGGAATTTCTATTGTAGGAAAAGAGAAAGCATGTCGAGGACCTCCGTGCACATATCGCATGGTCTACCTACCGCAAATTTATGATCAATACTGAATGCTGATTGGCGTCGTATGTTGAAAGGAAATTTGTTAAACGAAAGCCACACGACAATCGTAACCAGGCGTAGTCTAAAAAAACATTGACAAACACAGTAAGAGCGAAACGTGTCATATGCAAATGACCCTGCTATCGTGGTCGTAAATTGCATGATTAGTTAACATTGTTTTCATCCATTTGTATTACTGAAAGAAGCGCCAAGGGCGTAGTTTCATATTGTTGAGTGGCCCCAGTACTCTAACTCTGAGAAAAACGGAAGTACGGTTAGGTATTTTCCCTGTTCAGATTTTTAACAAGGAAAATGCCGACAGTCCTTTGTTAAGATTCTGGTACTTGCTGATTCCTTCACATCATTCCAGGCTAGACATTGATTCCGTTTGGATCTTAGCTTCATCCTGAGCTGTATCTTGGGTCTTGCGGGATCTTTCGGCTGAATATTACATTCGGTCTTGTTTTGTGAGATCTTTTGGCTGAACACCGCGGCTCAATTCCAGTTTGCCGCCGAAATGAGGAATCGGTTTCAGGGAATAAATGTTGGAAGCCGGGCACATCTTTCTTCGTACTACAGTACCTACATGGATTAAAATGTGAATGAAAGGTAAGGCGGGAAGGCCAGGTGCCAAGAATTTCCCTGTTGCTGTGGTATGATTTTCCTAGGTGTTGGTTAACTCGCGGACCCATAATCTGAGGTGAGTTAGATGAAATTAATGCGCGGGGAATAATACCCAGAATGCTCTAATATACCCACCAGACTATTTTCGAGCCGAGATATGGGTCGCGACTCTTTGACCGGCATGAATTGCAAACTTGCCAGAAGTCGTCCCATTTTACAAAAAAACTGCTGCCTTGAAGTGAAATGGCGCGAGTCATATTTACGCCTACCTGGATTCACAATTCACTATCCCCATAAGGGCAGATCAACCCTGTATCCACCCTGGCAACGCCTCTTGTAAGGTTGCGGGATGTGCATTCCAATTTCTCAATACGCGTCCCGGAGTGCCGCGAGCCTTTCTGGCCCACCATTTCTCATCCCCACCCTATGTTTTTGTTATTGCTGTATGTTGTACACCTTTACACAGACTGTTTCTAAGCACTTCCGACTGGAGTTCTTCGGAGTAAATCACTGCTGAATGGGTTACCCCATCTCTGTGGGGGACAGGCTGGAAGCGCATTTCAGCAATAATTTTGTAGCTGTGGCGCAAGCCAAGGCTATTTCCCACCTGAAAATGCCTCATTCAATGTGCTGGGTCGAAAAAATCCGGTTTATGAAAATATTTATGCTGAAACCAGCCCGCAAACAACAGCGTTTTCACGCCGCCGCAACGCTGGTGCCATATGATTTAGTGCCATGATGATGTCACATCATCACGTGCTCAGAATGCATTAACGCGGGAGGTTGGAAGTGATGCAGGTTGTGGTTTGCTGCCGAGGGGTGTCTATAGTCATCTTCTTATTGTCTGTTGGATGGAATGTTTCCTCCTGCCGTGGCTTTGCGATTGTCTTTTGTTCCAATTGTACAGGTTTTGAAAACCCCCCGGCTTAGGCATGACTATAAGGCGCAAAAAGTTTGTAATTCATGTGCATGCTGTGTTTTCATGCCTGCTTCTTATGTAACGTTGTGGATCAGCCTTAATTTCCTGAACTTTTGGGCTGCAGTTGCACTCCTCATTAACGGTTAAGCTAAACATAGGGCGATAGCCGGCATTGCGCGGGCAATGGAAGGTCGCATAATGTGCAGTGATTCAAAGCCACAATCCCAGGGTCAGAAAATTTTGCTTCATGCTTATTGGAAGAACCATCAAAAATGAAATGCCGTTAAAAATGATTTCATTGCTTTGGTCATCTGGTGCGGCTGAAGTACAGTGAGCTCAGCTGTGTGTTCTGTTGATGCACATGTGTGCCACAATAACTATGGTAACTCCAATGTATCATAGAATGGCCCAATAGATAAACAATGGCCAGCAACACGCTGTCAGAGTGACTGCTGTTCAAACTGGACAGTTGCCTAGATGTTGTCTAGATGTAGCCTATTGTGCGGAGCTCAAGGTCTGAGGTCATGTATGGCCATGTCAAGTTGTCAACTATAGTTGACAAATTGGATTCCGATATTCTCGCAGGCACCCCGTTCATGCGCGTGAATGATCATCGCAACGGCCCGCCGAGTGCACTGTATCGTTAGGTAACAATGTTGTTTTCAGGCATGACTCAGCTGACCCACCAGCCTCAGGTGCTCCTGCTGTACGTAGGGTGTTCTGCACGCTACGCGCCCCGCGGACCTCCCAGACCATCTGGCCCGGAGACTTCACAGAGCTCACCGTCCCCGATCTTGATCCGAGCTGCTATATGTCTGTCGAGCCTACCGTACCATCCCTGCGCCCAGGTGACCTATCTGAGACCTGCCCTGTCCTGCCGCCACCCAGCTGGTGGCCGGAAAAGTTGATGTCCCAAATCTTTTGCGCGTCACCCGTTCATATGCGCTCGCAAGGTCATGTGTGTAATATTTATTTGGTGTCCTCTGCCAACTCTAGTGGTGAACCGATCTCCTCCCTCTGATGAGGCCGCGGCGCAAACAGCTCCAATCAGCGCCTCTGCGGCGCTGGAAATCCTGACGGGATCCCCCACCCCCCCATCTGACATTGGAGCCAAATTCACAGATCTTAGGTCAGAGTTCGTGTCTGTCTTTGAGAAGGCATTACCGAGTTACAACAGCGCAAAAGATCCCATTCAAGGAGTTGTGAATACCGGCTCCGTCGAACCTCCGCAACGCTAGGAACGCAGCCGCCTAAGCGACCTACAGACGAAATTTGACGAGCTCGGGACGCTGGGTGTGTTTGCGTGTGCGAAACCAGGAGACCTCAGCATTACGATGGAGCAGGTCAACCCTTCGTTTTTAGTTAACAAATCCAATGGGAGACCCGCCTCGTCACTGGATTCACATCTGTCGGCCACTACTGCAAGCACCATCCTTTACTTCGGCCCGATGTCGAGTGGACACTCCGCACTATCGGTAGCTGGCGCTATCTCGTGACGACAGATAGGACTAAAGCCTATTACCAGCCCCCGCTGTCGCCCTATTCGATGAAGCAATGTAGCGTCTGGACACCGTACGAGGGAACCCGTGTTTACGCACGCTGCGTAACGGGCATCCCCGGCTCAGAGTCTGCACGCGAGGAGCTGGTGCGCCGCGTTCTGGGCAGTCTGATTCAGGAAGGGCGTGTGGTCAATCGACCGACGATCTGTTCTTTGGCGGATCTACGCCCGCTGAGGTTCTCGAGAACTGGCAGCTCTCGCCAGAAACACCCGGCATGTGTGACCTTCGTCCCCCGGCATCTAAAACAGTCATCTGTCCCTGATCCACGATCTTAATCGATGTGATATGGTCCGAAAGGCAATCTACCTGCCAGTCTTTATCACATCGCCAGTTTGCCAACATGTGACCTACCAAAGACTGTAAAGGACATGCGTAGCTTTATCAGCGCGTACAAAGCTCTCCGTCGCGTAGAATCAGGAACTGCTGATCTCCTGCCCCCTCTGGCCGCTGTCTGCGCAGGACTGGATTCGTCTGAACATACCGACTGGTCTGAGGATCTGGGAACCGTGTTCTCGTCTGCCCAGTACGCACTTAGCCGACACAAGTCTGTTCTCCTGTCTCGGTCTTCCGATCATATGTGGAAAGTCACTGTTGACTCAGTCAAACAACACAGAATCGGCTGTTCAACGCTGTACATCATCCGCAACTCACGTAGTTGGCTTTTTTAGCGCTAGACTGCGCAAAACCATGTGAACTGACTCCCGTGCAAGGTGGAAGCCCGGGAATCGTAGCAGCCACAAACCATTTGCACCATTTATAACACAATCAGCCACATTATCTGCCATCCTGACTGGCAGTAAGCCGTGCTCGCAAGCGTACCAGAAACTCATAGCATACCAGAAACATA